AGAGATGCACAGGCATGCTAGCTTGTTTGTAAGAAAGGCTTTGCCATATTTTTCTCAGCATGTCCTTGAATTACAATTTTTCTGATCCCTGCATACCAAGTAGCTAGGATCACAGGCATAAGCCACTACACCTGGCCTTTATTTTCATCTTTCAGGATTGCTTTTAATTAAGTTTTTTATTTGGGCACCTAGTTTGGCATAGGCTTACTTCTCTAGGGTAGGGGTGAGAAATGTCTAGCCTGTAGATCATCTTAGGCCTGAGCAATCATCTGGTATGTGCATTCTCCAAGGTCTGTCTTTGTCTGGTAGGAAATGGAATGATTCTTGGTCTTATTCAGCTTACATTTCCCCAGCAATTGCCCTTTCCTTAAAAATTTTTGTTCATCTTTGTAGAGCTTCATCTTTTATGTGTACATTCATATTTTCACTTGGCCAAAGGTCAATACCCTTATCCACATTATTGGTGCTCTGAGTAACTTGCCTCATCTTGCCTTCAATTCAGTGAGACCTCTGTAATCTCTCTGGGGTTATCCCCTCCCTGGTTTGCAGTAAGAAATTGCCTGGCACCAATGTCTCATGCTGTAATCCTAACTACTCAAAAGGCTGAGATCTGAGGATGGTGGTTCCAGGTTGAAAGCCAGGGAATTAAAGGATTTTCTCTGTTTTGTTTTTCCCTCTACTTTCAGGCCATACAGGCCCATGCTGCCATATGTCTAAAAACAGTTGTTTGGTACATTTCTTCCAGTATTCTAGGGATTAGCAGTGGAAGATTAAGCCTTAGTACTCCTGATTCAAAAGAATCTCACATGTTACTTCGTTATATTAAAGAAAGTTCATAAGCCAATTCTCAACAAAAAAATGTACAGTTGAAATATTTTCAATGAAGGGCTGTATAAAGTATTTGGCAAATACTTTTTTTAAGTCAGTTGTGGGGCCTGAACTGGGCCTGGGCACTGTCCCTCATCTCTTCAGCTCAAGGCTAGCGCACTACCATTTGAGCCGCAACACCACTTCTGGCCTTTTTTTTTTTTTTTCTGCTTATGTGGTGCTAAGGAATCAAACCCAGGGCCTCATGCATGCAAGGCAAGCACTGTGCCACTGAGCCATCTTCCCAGCCCCATTGGCAAATACTTTTAATCATACCTATGGTATAATCATTCAAAAGCCAGTTCAGTTCAATGACATTCATTGTACTTTGCCCTTTCATATGGTAATAGATGTTGTACTGAATACGTAACCTTATCCTCTTCCTGCTGGTAGTGTCTCATTTGAAAAATTATATTAGAAAAAATACTTGCTTTCTTCATCACCAAGGGGAAATTTTTGAGTATG